ACAACATGTATGTTTTCTACCTATGATGGAGAATAGTTCTGGCACGAGACCATCAGGTGATCATCCTTTTATGCACCCTCCGCATCATTTAATGCATTTAAGTGGTGATCAACCACGTCCACCATCACAATCAATTCGATCAGATGATTCACTATTTAACTCAATATTAAATGATTTAAAAATACCACCTTCATCGAATTCCACTGTTAATGACAAACAACCACTAGGTGATTGATAATCTTCAATAAAAAGTAATAGAATCTATCTGATGTTGTGTGTGAACATATCTTTTTATCTTATCCTCGTTGTTGACTTCTATTTTCTGATTTATATTTGTACAAATAAAGGATTTCTTGTCGTTTTTCTCTTTATATCCAACTGTTTCTATTCTTTCTTTGGATTTTTTCCTATTCTTATGATTAATGTTGTTCTCTAATTTGTTCTCTGTTGCCTTCTTATTCTGTTTGAATATGAAGGAAAAAGTGAAGTTTTTTTTCTTTTTTCTTCTGTGTCACTTGAAAAATGAATAAAAGGGTGTGGGTATCATTTTCTCTTTACCCACACCGACAGCCCACACCCTATGGTGAGAAATGTAGTTTCGGGTTATTTATAAATTTTTCTCTTTCTTGTTCTCTTCTTTCAATTTTTGCTCTATTAGAACAACGCTATGACTGTAGTTATGTTTCATATCACCCTGGAACGGTTTTGAAGGAAGAGTGTTCGGAAGAAGAAAATAGCAGATTCGTAGTCAGCGTGATCAGTTATCCCCGTCCCCGTTCAGATCTCAAGAGGGTACCTCTAACTCAGAGCAAAAATTTCTTTTACGAAAATCAATGGCTGCTGTCGTACACATAATATCGAAACGATCAAACATGGTGGACGTGCTTGTGTATCTTCGTGACAAATTGTATTTGAGGATATTGGCGTGAGTATATATTGAAGAAACACACACAAGGACTGGCACATCCACATGCTCAATCGTTCTCTATCACAAAAATTGTCCCGCATGAGTTGTTCAATATGAAAACTAATGATGGATAAGACGACTTACAAAATATATTAATCAAAACTGTCTTCGGTTTTGTTAAGCCTATCCAAGAATTCGATATAAATTCCAAATGTGCATGTGTTGTCTGTTCGAAACATGCACATCAGCATTCAAGTATCGATATAATTAATATTATGGTAAGGTTTTTGACCAGATAAAACATAATTAAGATAGAGCTTGAAATTTGATTATAAGTATCATCAGTCAATGTAAATGAGACTGCCCTATATTATCGCTTTTTTCTTAAATCTTGACAAAAGTTGGAATGTCCACCTGCACGACACTTAATAACAATTTGATCGTACACAGAAGCATTAAATGCATCAACAATTAGCCGAAAACGCCAACCAGATTTGAAAGTCAGATGCAGTAAATTCGACATCACAAATTTTATGTGTATTATAACGTTATTCTCAGAATTAATAAGTGAAACTATTCAATTGGATAGTATCTAGAAACTCTAGATAAAGCTTAAGATACAAGGAATTGCTAAATTCGAGGCACTAACCTGCATTTCACAGTAACAGCACATTTTTCGTCCGATGACTCATGTTGAAATTAATACCATTCGATAGATGATTGTATTTTTCACCTAATACAACCAATTAAAGATCCAACACAAGTCAAAAAACAACTCCTCACAAGAAAAGATCAAATACAGTGCTAACTTTACTGACGTATTCCATCAAAAGTTTGTTGATAGGTCTTTGAATAACTTCTTTTCAAATCAAATTATCATAAGATGAATTCAGTAAATCACTCAAAGTGATACTTTAATTTTAGATCAGATATAAAAAAAGAAAGCATAGGATGAGTACTTTCTTTTTGTTTCTAAATAATAAAAAATGATTCTCTACAATTAATAAATTAATATGTATTTGTTCTCGTAAAATTTAGATTCTATTGCACAACATCGACAAGTACAATATAAAAAAGAGAAGGAAAATAGGAAGTCACTGTTTTTTTATTTGTTCTTGTTTATACTGTAAATTTCTTTTCACTTTTATCAACATGCCAATACATTCGAACACTAGTACGATCAATCCAATTAAGATCAACTTTTTTCATTGGTGATGGTATTGAACGATCAAGTCGTTGAGCAGCATGTCTTGAAACAAGATGAATTGTATTTGATGAACCAAAAAATGTATTTGAGGATGTCTATATAAAAGAAAATAGGTTTAAGAGAAAACAAAAAATTAAATAAAAAATAGTTACCTGCCAAAAATATAATATCCCTTCATAAGCTGAATATGAAGCAAGATATTTTCCATCAGGTGAAAATTCTACACATGTAATTACTTCATTTTTTGGATGAGCTTGAAATGGCTAAACAAAATTTTAAAAAAATATTTAATTTTGATGGTTGACATATTATGAAATTCTTACTTGATATTTTGGTGTTTTTAAATCATATAAAGCAAGAATACCAGTTTTTGTACCAACACATAGTTTAGGTGATTCATGACAATAAGTTACTATTGGATATCTAAAATAGACAATATTCATTAAGGTTAATAGAATCTATAAATGAACAGTGTTGTTCAGAGAGAAAGTAAAAAAAAAGGCTAATCATTCAATGCTTAAAGTTATTTGCTAAGAATTGGGGATAAATATATATATAGTGATAATTTTCGATTTTTTTTCGAACGGATAGTCCATAAATAATTGTATTCTTGGTACTTTCAAAATCTCTCCTCTATTTTTCACTTGATTGGAACATCCTGTTTTATCAAAAAATACCGCTCGATATAAAAATAGATATGAAATTAATGATGGATCAACAAAAATTTATTGTGATTTAGGCTCACACTTATTATCTCAGTAAAAAATGGTGTACAGATCATTTTCGTTCCTTCATATAGCAGAGTTATTAATCACCAAATCTACCCGATTTAAATTCGTTAAATTATATTTCATGGAATAAAATGGCTGAAACTGAATTGGGACCACATAACAACAAAAGCAACATCGATAAACAAGAACATTCTATCAAAAAAGTTGAAAAAGCAAAAACATTGACATTCTGTACTCGGTTTTCTTGTATGATTATATTTGATCCGAAAAAATGCAGGAGACTACATTTGCTAAATAAAGTATATCCCAATGTACAGAATTACAAGCGCTATCCTTTGATAAAAAAAAAGGTGTATCAATCAATCAGAGGATAGACAACCATTCAAGTATCAAACTGCCACCAATTGATTGTCGGTGTACCGATGGGTTTTTTGTTAGATTCGAATCACAAGAAAAATTTTGAAAATATTAAGAGTGCAATACTTTATGAGTTACTCGTTAATAATGAATACAATTCGTCTTCATATTTTCTATTAAACTGCAAAGTTTTGCATAAAACAATAGTCAGATTCTGTCTGTTTTAGTTGCATTCTAAAAAGTCTAGCAAATGTTACGCTAAAAGAACATAATTAAAACTCTCATGTTATTTTTCATACCGTAATAATAATCCAAAAGTTTCGGATACAGCTTGTACACCTTTGTGTCGAAGAGTACTTAAATCAATACAATTCAAAATAATATCAGTAACCTATAAGTAGAAAAAAAGAAAGAAAAGAAATCCATTAATTTGTTTATATTCATTTGTTCTAATCTACTTCAAGAATTAATTCTGCAACATCATGTGGACATTTTTCAATAAGAATTCTAATAAGACGAAGTATTTCAGTTTTTTGTTCATTTTTAATTGTTATTGATGCTTGTGATGGTGTTGTTGTACGTGCTGTTGTTGATGATGTTGTTCCAGATTGTGCAAGAACATATTTAGCAATTTCACGTGCAAGTGTTATTATAACTACATTTGAACGAGACGTTGCAATTAAATTAAGGGCTGTCCGTGCTGTTAAACAAGTATCAGTTTTAGGTGTTAATATTCCGCTAAGTACGCTAAAAAAGAAGATTATATTTTTTTAAAACAAAAATAAACAAAAAACAAAAAAAAAAAAAAGAAAGTTATAAGTTGGGTATCGAAACAAAACAAATACAACAACCAATAAAAACATGCATGCAGTTTCAACCAACACACCTTGTTGCATGTCGTTGAATTGTTAGATCATATTCTCTAGAGGAAAATAAAGCAAGCAATCCCATCACCCTCGATGTTAATACTACCTGCTCGTATAAACATTAGGTCGCCTGAAATCATCATTCTCACTCAAACCCTCATTATCGGAGTATAGAATACTTACTTGCTTGTTACTGTTGAACTATCACTAATAGCACATAAATCAAGTAATGTTAATAGTACTTGTCCAATATCTAAATATGGTTCCCATATAGTATAACCACGACCAATAAGATCGATTGCTGTTCGACGAATAACACTGTGTAATGGAATGTGATCGAAATTAGATGGAGATAAAAGACTTGTTAGAATACGACCTA